AACACATTCCATTTGCACTTAAGATTTGATTTGACTTAAGGTATTGCACGTATTTAGAGGAAAGTTTTCTTTTCTTTTTTTTTTTTTTTACACCAGCCTAAAAAATATGTAGATTTAACTCTGAGGAACATGTTCTTCCCTAAGTAATTAATGCTTGGGATTCATTATTTTCCTTTTGTGGATCTAACACAAACATTTCCAACCAAGCAATATAATTTGTAATTCAGTTCTTTAACACAGCTTATTTTCATAAAAACAGTATTTCTAGAATAATGAACGCAGTTTCCATGTCAGGAGACTGAGAAACATGCGGAAGGATGCAGCTGCAGTGTGGTGAAGAAGATGCTTGGGGAGTGCTCGCCAACACTTTCAACTTGAAGGAATGTGAGTCCTGAACACTGCATGTCTGTGTATTTGATTTCTACCTGGCAATAGGTATAAATTCTCCCTGAATGAGCAGGGAAGAAAGGTGAGTAACATAAAAAGGCAAGAGTGATGTTAACAATGAGGAAAGCAGACAGTGGAAGATGCAGGAAGCTCATATCTCTGTGAAAGTAACGGCCTCGGGCACAGCCATCAGCTGGCATCCCATTACAGTTAGGAAAGATGAAAACCACTTAATACCTGGAACAGAGGCTAGCTGGGTTTGTAGACATATTTTTTTTGTCAGATGGTTAGGGAACGTAAAGTGAGAAGTGCCAGGGTGAGGGAAAGGCTGGTCTAAAAAAGTACACTGTGATGCAATATGAGTGGAGAATGTGACCGCCTGTGTACTGTAGAAAGATCTACAGTGAATATACAACCCAGCAAGGACAGAAAGGTGGCTCCACATCCCACACCCCGATGCAATTATGAGAAAAGAGGCAAAGTAGCAATTAACCAAGGAGAAAGGATACCTATTGTCATTCTCTAAAACAGCATTCAATCACAGTAATATTTAAGAACTCATTCTATGCACCTAAGATCAATAATTTAAAATACTATTAAAGAAAAGAAAGGAAGCTAGCTATAAAGGACACAGCACCTAAAGCAGCCAAGGCTGGGAACTAGTGAGACAATTCAGTCAGAAAAGCATGAGGACCCTAGTTCAGGTCTCTAATCGCAGCGTTGGGAAGGCACAGACAGGGGGACACTTGGGACATGCTTGTGCCAGCCAGGTAGTCAGCATCCATCAAGTTCTGGCTTTGGCATACCCACATATATCTACACATGTACATGTGCACACACCAAACAACAACAATAGCAACCCGCCACAGCAAAATAGCCCAGAATCTGTGACTTGCCAGGTTTTCACAGAAAGGTTTCTGGCCACATTCAGCAGATTGTTCTACCTTCTGTCAGGATATCACAGGTGAGGCATATTCAGGAAACTGACTAATAGAATGATATATTATGGTGTTATCTTCAGTGTCTTAATGACCAATTTTCAATAAGCATACGTTCATTTAATTGATTTTTTGGTCTTATGGATTTAATATGATACTAGGAAATTATACAACTCCCAGAAAGGCCTACATTCAGTAATAAAACTGATGTCAATTTGGTACACGTTGTACTTATTCATCATGTGATCAAATCAGCTGTAAAGTTTATTAAAGTCACTTATGACTTCCTCCAAGACAGCCACAATTCTAGATCTTGCCTGAATGACTAAGCACGTGGCACTGTCATTTCCTCACACTTAACACTGCCTGATTTCTGTGGAAACTATTCATTAGGTTCCTTTATTTGTTGTTTTTGATTATCTCCCTAGGTATTCTTTCATACTTTTGTCTACAATGAATAGTTCTATAACATACAAACATTTCTGGCCATAGTCATCACCTACATTGACTTAACAAACAACCAGAAAAATGTATTTATTTTATATGACCACATGATTTTAAAAAAATCTATGGAAGTCAAAGTTTTTTTTTTTATTCTTCTGCTTACTCAGGTCAATAACTCAAAAGAGACTCAAATTGTCAGCTTATACGTTCAATTTATAGTCCTATATTTCACCTTGTTACAAGAAAATGTAAGCTGCTACCACATGGTCTTATACATGTTTCTCTGAAATGTAGACCTTTTCTCCATTTCATTATTAAACTGCCTTTTTCCTGTATTTTACTCAAGTTTAGATTAATTAAAATTCATTTCCATCCTCTACATTTCATTGGAAACATATGTCTTGACATCATGCAAGACAAATCTTATACTTAGTTTCCTGTCATATAAAATCTGTTATCATCTCTGGCTATGTTAAATAGATAAATAGATCATTTCTTTGCTTTGCTTTTTCTTTGATGCAGGGTCTAATGTAGCCCTAGCTGTCCTCCACCTCCCATGTAGCTAAAGATTGTGGATGACCTTGAACTCCTGACTCCTAATCATCCTGCCTCTACCTCTCAAGTGCTGGAATTACAGCTATGCACTACCATGCCTGGATGAAACCATACAATTTCTCTTGGGAAAAAAGAGGCAATACCACTTAATACGTTCAAATACATATGCAATATAAGTAACATAACACATGCAATTTCATAATTTTAAATTGACAGTTACAATTCTTCTGAATTATTTTAAGAATATGAAATTAAAGGGATATTTTAAATATTTTATCAGTTTTGTTGATTTTTAAAATGTCAAGTTGACCAAGATAATTGAAATCTAAAATCACTTTATTGGGACGACTTTTTTGCTGTTTCTAAATGTACTTGTACAAAGTCACAAAACATGGTTTCATCTAATACGTACTCTTTGTGAATTCTTTGAATATTGCGATCTGTTTCTTGGAGAAAGTCTAATCAATTTGTCAAAAAGTACAAGAATAAGTAAATGAAGTGCTAGATTCTTGGCCAAAACATTGAATTACGATTGCCACTGTTATCATTGTATGTTTTTATTCATTCATTTGTGTGTGTTTGTATGTTTGTGTGTGCACATGAATGTGTATGTGCACATGCATGGGTGATTGTTAGATGTTTGTACATGAATGGGAGGTGGTCAGAGGACAGCTTGTAGGGTTGTTTTGGTCTTCCGTTAAACCATATGGATTCCAAGGTTCAAAATCAAGGCATCAGGCTTAGTATGAGGTGCCTTTACCTGCTGAATCATCCTGCCAGCCCCTTGCATTACATTTTATAAGAAAAAAGTTAACATAGAGTGAGAGAAATTGTGACACATGTAAGCTATAAATTATAGCATTATTACTGTAAAAGATATATATGTATATATCTCCTCAGTATTTACATATGCTTTCTTAAGGCAGGAAATTATGCTCCCTGTTCCCAAAAGCATTGTAATACACAGGCCTACAAGACATTAACTAATTTAAACCCTTTTGTGTTTCATACAGCAACACTCATTATTGAAACATACACAGGCACTATAAATAAATGATGACAAATATTAAAAATATTAATTTGCACTATGTAGATGGTTGCCAACAAAGTTTTTCACAAATTCTTACAGTGCATTCAAGTGAAGAAATGATTAATTAAAATAATTAAATTAAACTTAAAAACTCAATATTCTACTTCAGTTTTTCAAATCAAAAATTGGTTTCTAGACAAACATATTAGTAATCAATACTATATTTTGTGAAGAATAGAAGCATAAAACTGGATAGATAAAGACACACAGGGGTATAGTTTTCTTTACTGATATGCTCTACTCAGATAACTTCTAATCAGGTAACTTCCAATCAGCTCCACATTGAGAAATGTAGGACATCTTAAGACATTCAAAAAGCCTAGACGTGGGAGTAAGGTCTAGAAAATATGGACATCAGGTCACGTTCTTTCTTGATATGCCCTTTGGATTTATGGGTCCTCAAAGGAGCATTTCCTACTTAAGTATTCACACAGAAAGAAACTGAAAAAAATCACCATTTGGCTACCACATGGCCACCAAATGCATAGACCATGAACTGCTCATCATTTGCCTAATGGCACTTCTCACTGGCTTCTGTTCATGTTCATCTTTAATGCAAAAGACATTTTCAAATTCAAGAAAAAATAAAAATCAGTCATCTATGTTAACAAGATAATTTTAAAAACGGGTTTGGGCTTTTTCTAATTTGGATCCATGAGGTTGAAGAATTTCATGTTTTAGTTTAAAATGATGTGTATGATGAAAGTTATTATAAGTATGAATATGAATATGGAATATTATTTATACAGTATCACACAACCAGCCACTAGAAAATCAACTATAACAGTTGCAGTGGATGGAACAGACCTTTTCTTCAACAGCATAGACACTAGTAAGTTGCCTATGATCCTGTAAATAACTTCTCACCCATGCTTCTATAGCCCACCTATTATAGAAGCATGGGCGAGAAGTTATTTATAGGAGACATGAAAATAGACAAAGGGCTAGTTTCAAAGGGAAGGAAACCAGTGGGAGTGCCTGGGGGAAAAGAAAGGCTATTGGGGGTGACTATGATCAAATACTTTATATACATATAGGAAAATGTCATAAAGAAACACATTATTATGTCTAATTAATATATTCTTTTTTTTTTTTTTTGGTCTTTTTGAGACAGGGTCTTCTTGTAGCCCCAGCTGTCCTGGAACTCACTAAGTAGACCAGGCTGGCCTCTAACTCACAAAGATCCACCTGACTTTGCCTCTCAAGTGCTGGGATTAAAGGCGTGCATAATTAATATATTCTTTAAAAACATTTAGAAATAAACTAGTGGATGAATACTTTCACTTCGTTGGTTAGTGGGTTATTTTGTTCTAAATAGTAATATGAGTTTAGTAGTATGTCCCTATTGTGGTACATCAGGCCTCTAGGAATCCTTAAAATAAGCATATCAGCCTCTAAGCTATAGCTTTACTCTCCTCCATGACACCCTGCTTATAACTTCACAGTAGTTAATGGCAGAAACGTTAGAACTTTTTCATACCCAGAAGATTTTGCACGTTCATCTGCAAAGCAAAAACCACAGTTCTTCATGTAACCATAAACAGTGACAATAGCCATTTGTAACTGTGAAAGGCCACAGGCCCTACCTTTCCTACATAGAGGGGGTCTGAACCCATGTATTCTTCCAGCACAAAGAACTGATTCCACACCCAGCTGCGCTTGGTCCGGGACCTTCCTGACTGGAAATAGGGCTTGGATCTGGACCTTGGCAGCTCGGCTTGACTCATCCCGGAGAAGCACAGGAAGAGAGCTATTAGCTGAAGAAAATGACACAGCTGCCCTTTGCCCAGCTTCATCTTTTTTTTCTCTTCCTTTTTCCTGTGTAAGAAAAAAATCTTGACAACAGAAAAGGCACAGTTCCAGTTGGCTTCGTAGCTCTTGCCTCCGGCAGGGTGTCAGCTGGGAGTCCAGAGATAATAATTTGTAGACTGTTGGATTGGAAGAGGTCACCAGTGCCGAGTAGCCTTTGCCAAAGAATGGTGTAATAGGAACCTAGAACAAAGAGAAGTGCTCCTGTCAGAAACCAGAACACATAATAAGGCTAAGCTTTCATTTACTGACTTTATATTGAATTCCCCAAGGTAGTGTTGCTTGTATAATCATTAAAATATTAATATGCACACTTTGAAAATTATGATACTGTAGCCATATTTAAATTACAAAAATATTGCTGTTTGCAGAATGATCTTCATTCCACAGCATAACCTTAAAATGTTCATATTTCTTCTAGGGCATTCTTTTACATAAATGTAGTGGCATCATTTTGAAACAACATTTTAAAGGTAGAGCATATATATTTATGGTCAGTTTCATTCATTGGCATTAGGAAGTGAAAGGCAAACCACTCAAAGCAGGGGTTTAACCAAATGGGACGGACATGTGCTGGTTTAAATCTCTTCAGTGAAATTATAAAGAGAAATAATGTATGAGGTGATTCAAAACCAACTGTTTGATTCTGAGTCACAGAACACCAGCTGTTTTTATGTGTTGAGATTTGATTGTGATCAGCTGAAAACCTCAATAGCTTCCATTTTCCACCCCTCAAACTTATTATTGTTGTGTCTGTGTGGCATGGTGAATGATGCTGTTTGACTGCGGTCCTTAGCTATTCTGTGATTGCTAATTGGTATTTTACAACATGACTTGTGCATAGTAAGGCTTTCCTCCATAAACATTTATGAAATTGAATCACATTGCTCAATAGATGGGTGGTAAAACAATTATATTTGTGAGTTCTCTTTCATTTTGGCTTGCAGCCAGGAAATCCTTCAGGGAAAGTATGGGAAAAAATATTTTACTCTGATGTCTACTGCAATCACTGAATCATGATTATGTAAGAGATCTAGAATCAATTACAGAACAAACTTCCCAACCCCCCCAAAAAAAACATAAGAATGAGGATTTCTGAGGAGATTCTCACATAAATCGCTGTGCTGCTCTTTGTGAATTCATTTCACCTTATATAAGTAAATCAACAATAGGATGGTAATGGAAGTCTTTATGGAGTCTCTTTCTCCCTCTCCCTCCCTCTCTCTCCCTCCACCCCTCTCTTTCACTGTTATGATGAGGAGAAAAGTATCATTCTAAGAACATAGAACTTTAGAACTAAAAGTTCCTTCCTTATGTCTCTATTAAGGAAGAAAATATATTGTCCTCGCATTTTTCCATCTTTCGTCTTTTTAACTATCTCCCCTATAACAGGAATGTCATCAATCAATAGACAAATACTTCAAACAATTTTGAAGTTTTAGAAAAATATATACACAGTAGAATTAAAAGTGTAGAGCTATCCAAATTTCTTGAGTTTGTTAAATAGTTCATATAGTGGAAGAAGAAGGAAACAGTTCCAATTGATCCTGAGCACTATTAAAATGAACACATACTGTAAGAAAATTCTGTAAATTTTTGGTATTCCAGAGCAGATTTCAGAATGATCTAAATTCAAAAATCAACATGTGCTGCTAAACGATAGTAACTACAGCCTACATGATGAATTCAAGCTCTCAAAATCCAATTACCAAAGCAAAGTAAAGCAAAGTTCTGTGGAGGTTAGAAAGGGTAGGTTAATTAAGGTATAAAAACACAGATGGACAGAAAGACTAATTTATAGTATTCTACAGTACAATTGATTATACTATTTCAGGGTTTATTGTATATTTCAAGGATAGCTAAAAGAGGGCTTTTAATATATGAGTGCAAGGAATGATAAAACTTTGAGGTGTGAATATGCTAATTACTTTGGTTGACCAGTGCACATTATATATATGCCAAAGTACCTCACCATGCTCCATAAATATGTACATTTATTCTGTATCATTTACAACTTTAGTAAGATGAGGGGAAATTTTTTCTTCATTTAGAAATCCCCCTGGAATCCTAGCCACTCCAGACTTAGAATTATGAAGGTCTGGGAACACTGAGTAATTCCTTGATAGTTCTTTGCAAGCCTCTCAGATGAGCTGAAAGCTCATTATGCGGAGGGTGAGAAAGGCTCTCCTGCTCAACAAAAGCTGGGAGGTATTTCAGGAGTGTTGGTGGATTGGCTTATGATGAATCATGCACCATGACAAGCAGAGAATCCTACTTTGGCTATGTGCAAAGTGAGTCAACTTTGTGCACTTTACTTCACCTAGATGCAAGGTCATTTACTAAGGATGGAGAGGGATATTCAGGGTTGTGGTGGCAATACTCATATGGATAACAAACCCATATGAGGAAGAGTTTTGGTCTCTCTACTTCCATTTCTCCATAGGTATTGAATTTTTTCTTAAAAATAGTTACATAAATGATTTATTTATTAGTACAACTCTTTTAAGTGCAATATAGCCAAAATATATTATGTGGACTAGTTGATGGGTGGAGTGAACTTCATAACATCATTTCACTGTGAACATATATTTAAATTTTAAAGGCCATAGACAGCAATTAATTTTTGGAATTTATAATCAGAGGAATTTTCCAAATACGTAGTGCTGAAGAACGTGGGTGTTTGCAGAAGGTAAATATATAGTTGAATTTACCAGATATTAACTCCATGAACTTGGATAGGATAATGTCAAGAAGGTAAATAAGCTCCAGGATGAAGGCTCAAGCCTTTTGCCTACCTGACAAAAATAATGACATTAATATAAAAATTATGATAATAGTAACAACTACTTCATAGGATTAAATAAACAAATTAGGAAATACTAAGAACATGTAAAAGCAATTAAAGTAGATATTTAGATTATTATTATAATCATAATTTTCTGTGTTTGAAACTGATTATCAGTAAATTGAAGATTGTTAGTTAATTGATGTTATTTTTCCTCTAATAACACTACCAATAGTGAAATAATTTAGACAGCTGTTATCGTAAGTGAAAACACTCTTGATGTTCTGTTTAATGCTAGCAAAATATATGCTAATGACTCTAAAATATCATATGGATACAAAGCCTCCAAAATACTTTTTAGGGGAAAAAGAATGAAAATATTTGTTGAAGACATATCCTCTGTCATTTTCAGTGACCCAAACAAAGGATCATAAGGGCAGTTGACATGAGTTCAATAAGGGTATACAATGATGATAGACAAAGAAGATATAATCTCCACTAGGCAAAAGATCACTGAGGTCTGTATCCTACAACCTGTATAACTTGCTATATGGCCTTCAATCGCTCTGGAAATTTATTTACCACATGTATAAAATAAACCGGAATAAATCCTTTTATAAAGTCTTTGTTTTTGCAAGTCTTATTTTTAGGCTTTTGAGCAGTTACTGGAAACTAGTATTTCTAGCTTTCTTTTAAAGCTGTGATGAACAGACTGCTGCTATTAATTAAAGATAAAGGATTTAGGAGTTTAAAGGGGGATTGGAATGTCAAATAAGCCCTTGGCTTGCTCATGAAATATGGTATGCTCTTTAGCAACCATTGTTTATGCATTGTTACCTCTTGATTATTTCTCTTCTCTACAAAAAGATGTCATAGATTTTTAAAGGGCCTAGAACATATAATGTAAGAGAGTTTCTGAATAGTGACCAAGTGACTACTATTCAGATAATATTGATGAAGAGAAGATCCCTGAGAATTGTGGACTATACCATTTAAACCAAGGGTTTTAAAAGCAAGTAGCACAATAATAATCTTGATGAACAGGTGCATCCATTCCTTATCTGTGACATCAAGAATTTAGGGACTCAGAAACTCTTTACACAATGCTCCTATTTACTATGATATTTTCTAGCCTTAGTGTGTAAAATTAAGCATATGACAAGTCAATATATAAATTCCTTGGCAACATAACATATAAATGAATCCCAATAATTTTTAAACAATTCTATTGCATTTTTGATAGGGTTCAAATTTTTTTGCTATGATTTGCCTACATTGTCTTGATTTTGCTTCAAAACTTGCAATATTGTACCAAGGTATTTTAACTGTTTGTGAACAAGATTGGATGATAAAATTATATTTTGTGGTACAGATAAAAGTTTCTGTAATGCCCTTTATAGGATATAGTTGGAAAATTAGAAAACATTACCTATATAATTGTGATATGAATTGAATGCCTTCATGACATGTTCCCCAACAATTCTGGTCGTTGGCAGCTCTGCTAGGAAAGTCCTACAGACCAGGAGGAAAGCTCCTGTTCACTTTCTTGGTCAGCCTTCCCCTTTGCTTTCTTTGTAAATCAATCTATTCTCAAGGTAAGATGTCTATAGAGCAGTTTCAAACAACTCATCATGTGCTAAACTGGTTTCTCATGTAAGAAAGGAAGGTTCCTGAAGCTTATTTCTAAGAGAGCAATCACTAACCAACCACGTGGACAGGAATAGCAGCCCACACCTGGCTTCTTTCTAAATGAAGTCAAACAAAAGTAGCCAAAACTTGAACATAAAAATTTGTCATGTGCTATGTAACTTCTCTAAAGAGTTATCCTGTCTTCTTAAAATATGAGTCATGGTTCCACAATAACATTTCTACATGTGACTTAATTTGAGCACAGGACAAATTATGTTTGTCAATATTTCACAACAGGCTCAATATCACCTAACAAATCTGTTTCTTCCAAACAAAACCACTAAATTCTGCCTTAGATTCTGTGTGATAAATCTCTCTTTCCATCACCTCCTCTCCTGTCTGAGATTCACATGCAGATATCAGCAAAAGGAACTATGTAACAAAAAAGCAGAGACCTGTTTTCATGCAGAATGCAGACTACCCTGTCCTTGTGAAATATGTTAGGGCAGTCATCATCTGGAGATTTGGACAACTGACCTCTTTTCTACTGATTGCCCAGAGAAAAAAATATATCCTGATGTATAGTTGAAATAACTTCTACTGATGTGTGTCAACTTCTGGAACACTACAAATTTGGAGCATTCCAACTGAGAAGAAAAACAAAAGTAACAGGTTATATCTATGGGGAGAACAAAACAAGGGTCAATAAAAGTTATTTACAAGAGCACTGGTGATGTCCACTACAGTAATGCTTATTCTGAACTAAAAA